ATGTTGGTTAAAACTAAAAAGGTTTACTTTTATCAACCTGTTGATATAGATATTTTAGCAAATTACACAAGATAGAAAATGTTGTATTTGCGGAGCCACAAGTACAAAACGGTGGTATTATCATTCAGAACCTGGAGACTATTTATGTGGAACATGTTACCAAAAACGATATAGAGCACAGATTAAAACAAAAACCGAAAGAAAGTATACGAACAATTAATTATTTAATGAAGATATAAGATTTTTGTTTTACAATTTACTTTTCCTCAAGAAAAATTATGTGAAGCAAGCTCAAACGACTTTTTCGAAATTGTCAAAATTTTCGCCTGTGGCGCTTAAAAAAGAAGCAATTTTGCTTCTAGTCTTACAAAATTCTCAAAATTTTCACCTGCGAGCTGAGTATTTGAAGAAACTCTTCGATCATGGGGCATCTCAGAAAAACTTTAGCTCCTTATCTCGAACAAGGTGGGCGAAAGAGACGATCTCAAAAAACGCGATTTAATATCAAACCTATTTTCATATCAACGTTTTTCCTATCAATTCCATAGATATCCAAATCCTCTGATATCCAATTACCCGCTTGACCCTTGATATCTTTTCAAATTTTTCAATATTCCTTCTAATCTTTAGAAATACCATGTTTAAATACAAACAATCCATCTCCCCTGTATCCTTCAATATCACCTGATATCCTCACACCATATCCCGGTCACTCCATAAAATCAGTAAAAATGAGCTTACTGGGCTCATGATTATTTCTTTTTCAGTCCCACTTTTCATTCAGTCTTTTGTAAATTTTAAATATTTAATCTTTTGTATAAAATATTTACGAGAATTGTTTTGTATTTACTATATTTAAAGTTTGTTGAGCTTCAAAATTTACAAAAGCTCGTCTAACAAGCTTTGCAAATTGAGAGTAATTATATTAATAATTAACTTTGGGATTTCGGTTTAGTTTGGAACAAGTGAGAGAGTATTGCGTTTGCGTTAAATTTTGACCTAGCGTTTTTGACGAAATTACACAAACGCTATTAACACTAAATTCGACTTCTAAAATTGTCAAAATTTTACTACTGCGGATTTATGAAGAAAAAAACACCAAAACACGTAAGCGATTAACCGGTTGGCTCAACCCTAATGATTACGATGGCAAATCAACATTTTTTAAACTTTTTAAATAATACATACATATTTTATTGCTACAACATTGGAAACGCATTAGGGGAAATATTGTAACTCTGGATTAAATTCCAAATATTATGAAGCTTTTTTATATGCATAAATTCGACTAAAAATATTTTTTGGTTAGTAGAAATACAAAAAGTTATAAAAAAATAAAATTTTATATACAGGGTGCGTAAAAATAAAAAAAAATAAAAAAAGACCCACTCTTTTCTCATAAAAATTTAATCAAATGGAATTTTATCAAATAAATTTACAAATACAATCAAAAGAATGTGTGTTACTAGAAAATTATAAAAGATTTTCAGTGTTGTATTTAGTCACCTAGATTCTGATTTACATGATTTTTCTAGTATATGTAGACTTTAATATACAAAATGATTATACATAAACAAACACAAAAATGTTTACACCAGATCTGGCATATTTTCAAGCATATTTTGCGATTCTTAGTTAACTTAAAAATCCAAGCCCTACCCACAAAATTTGTACATAATATAAAAATATCTACAGTAAAACTTCATTCCTCAAGATTATGTTCAATCAAATTTTTAGTTGAATTCTACTCAAGTAATTTTAGTTGATTGCTTTCTCTTTGTTAGCTGCCGGATTATATTTTGTTATTATTTTAAAATTTTTACGGTCATGTTTTGAAAATTTTTTTCCTTTATTATTTGGCGTGAATTGAATATTTAATTTATTAAAAAATTCAATAATTTCTGTATAGTGTTTATATTCCTTTCGAATTTCTGGCTGTTCGCAAACTCCACGAGCTTTTAATATTGAATCAAAAGAAAGCTTTTTCAATACAACTGTTGACATATATAAGTTCTAAAATTTTTAGATTTTAATAATAAAATTGAAAAATTTTTTTGTTATTTATTTATTTAAGGAAAATTTGATCATATAGCAGGCTAGTCCTTATCACATTCATATGATTCAGTTTCAATAGTACAAAGAACATCTCATAGAGATTATCTAGGAGGTTGTTTAAATAGATGTAAGAGACTAGCTCAGAGAGATTATCTAACAGCCATTATCTAATTTTAAGATAGCCGCTAGCTTATCCTCGTGAAATTATTACTAAACAAGTATGCGGATATGACTTATGGAATATGCAAAAGGAGATCACTTATTTTCCATTCAGCTAAGGATTAAGTCCATTGTATCTTAAAGCCAAGAGCTATATAATGCCCACTGTTAACGATCTGCCTCTTCCTTATCTCGGCATACTTCACTTATTGTGAAGCAACAAGAACCCTAATTTAACAACTACCCACATCGAGGCACTAAGATATGGCTAACCGCTTTAATTTAAATATTTAGACAAACGAACATGTAGGTATTTAATTTCGTCAGGCACTCCTTGTGAGGAATCTTTGAAAATATTATTCTTATGATATTTATTTGTCAATTTCTTGTTCAAAAAGTCGCACATTTTGGTAAATTCCTGATAATTTACCAAATATTCTTTTGCTGTTGGATTTAATATTTTAATTTCTTCTATTTGTTTGATCAATCCTTCCTGGTTTTCATCAGAAAAATATTATGTTTAAATAAACTATCTAAAAATTCTTCAACGCCTGCTTGCTCTCTCAAAACATTATCCACTACCTCTAACTTTATTTCAGAAGTTGAGGCATCTTGGGTTATCTCGGATGTTGAAGCATTCTTGTTATGCGTAGTACATATAAACGTCAGTTGGGAATTTTCTAAATGCCCTTAGAATATTTTAAAGCTTTTATTGTCTCTAAAATTTAGAGGGATTCTATAATTAAATAGCCAGACAATGGAACTGGCTAAAAGTGCAATCGCGTGTTTCGACTCAAGGCGATGGATGTATAGACAACAATGCAAATCACGCTTCAATTAAATAAATTCTAGACAGAAAATTAATTTTAATAGTCGCTTTAAATAATTTATTTCCTTGTTTAAATAAAATATTAAATATAAATTCCACTTTTAAATTTTTACTGGAATCGCTATTTTTTAAATTGAAGGCAAAAATTATTGTTTAGTTCAAATTTTCACGAAGTTTCCCTCTTAAAAAATCAGAATTCGGAACAAAAGTTTGTTGTGACAAAAGTTAATTGTGATCAAAAGTATGGTGTAGCTAACTTATAAAAAGATTTGGAGGGAGTTCTATTAATGACATATGTTGATGACTACTTTCCAATGAAAAAGTCCATTTTTACTTTGTAGGATTAGCATTAAAATGTCATTAAAATGCTCACTTCCGAGAGATAAGTAGTTAAGGTGTTTTACCCAGAAACATCGATATTTTTATTTTTTAGAAAATGTTTTTTTAAAAAGAAATTGTTTATAAATTTTTTCATTACAATTTCAACATTGTTTGGTCGTGCTCAATAATTTTGAAAATTTTCTCAAAAATTATCTCACACTTTGTACTTTAATTAAAATTGTTTTTTGTATCTAAACTTTAATAATACTCAATGAATTTTAATAATATCTCTCCTACAAATCCATCAATATCACTTTCAATTCTCCGATATCCATCCAAATTTACCAATCATTGCTAAATAAATTTTTTAAAAAAGACTCGAAAATTTCTCGGTTCCCAACTCGATAAAGTTAGGCCCGAAAAAGACTCGTACCGGCCCGACTTGATATAAACAACTCGAAAAAATGCCTAGACCGTCGGCCCGACTCAAAAACCGGTTTAGGCTACCCAAAACCGTAACCCAAAACAAGGGCCTGAAAACTTCTAATAACTGAAACCAGGAGTTACGAATAATATTAATTCTAAATTAGATTAAATCATTACAGGCTACTAAATAAACAACCAAACATTTTAAATATTATTTTATATTTTAAATAATTTTAAATTAAATTAATTTTCTTTTTAAATTTTATCAATTTTTGTTATTCAATAAAGTCTAGGAGTCTGGCATTCACGCGATTCCATTCACGAGTCTTCATTCATGCGACCTCCCTCCCTCCCCCCCCCCTCGGAAATTTGTCAATTTCTCCACCCCATATTCTTACCTTCTCTCTCACTTACATTAAAATCCTTGCCAGACATGAATTCGCTTCTATGAATTTATAAATAAAGTCAAAGCTTCCGACCCAATTCCAGAAAATAAATAAGTTTTGGTGGGATTTTATTCTAGAGCTCAGAGATACGACCCTCCCGACCGGTAACCAATTTTTTATTTCTGTTTATCTGCTAGGCCTGTAGGAATCTTCATTGGCCATAAAATGCAGGCGAATCTCGATAAGACAAAATTGTTGAGAACGATTTAACCCGACATACCTTTTTTAATCACGCACTGATAAGGATAGTTAAGCATATATGGTACACCAACATAATTAAGATAGAGGGTTTAAATAATTACAAGTTAATTTAAATAATTTTTTAGTTTCAAAGATATTTAGCTTAAATGAACATTGAAAAATTACTATTATTTTTTATTTTATTGTCTGCCGCATTTGGCAGTCGAACTCAACATAAAATTAGCAAAGCTGAAAATCTTGAGAAAAAGAAAGGTATCGTAAATCTTATTTTATTTTCCCTTTCCCTTTTTATTTTTATGCCTTTTAGATATAAAAATTAAAAAAGGGCTGTAAAATTCATAGGGCTGTAAAAATTTCCCGACTTAGTCGCGAATTGACATCGGGAGTCGGGATCGGCATACCCAAACATCACTAAAATATACATATGAGATTTAACAGATTTGGCTGCTCAAAAAAAGGAAAAAGATGAGGAAGGAATAACACTTCACATTTTAAAAAATAAAAGTGAAATTCTAAATAAGAATTTTGAAGAAATACAAAAGCAACTTGAAAAAGTTCAGGAAATGAACAAAGATGTATTTAATCAATTTATTAACCACATAGAATTTTCGAAATTTTTTAAATATTTGAACATCAAAAAAGAAAAGAATCCGGAAAATATAAAAAAGATAAAGGTTAAATTCAAATTTATAAACTATGTGGCAATCCATCAAAACTTGCGTTCTCATAGTCACTTTGCGTCTTAAGTTGAAAATAAAATTCTAAATAACGAGAGATAAAAATCGCATGCAACTTTTCTCTCCCCTTCACAGTTAAATTGATATTTTGTTTTGGTTACCTATGTTAACTTGATTTAGCAGCACTAGATTGAATGGGGCTTAATCCTTAGAATTCTCTGATACAAAGTTGTTAGGCTTGGAGAAAACTGTCAGCAATAAAATATTTAGCGATATTATGAATACGCATTTGTCATTAAAATCATTTAAATAAAATATTTAAATGTTATAAAAATGTTTTTAAAGGAATTAAATACTGTTATGAATAAGCTGAAAAAATTACAATTCGACACACTTTTGGAATATCTAGGAATCTGTGAAGCTATTCCATCAGACCATATGGCAAAAGAATATTGTATGGATTTTATATCTAAAATGGCAGGATTACACGAAATGCTTAGAGCAAAGCTTAAAAATGTGACTATGGCTAAGGACAATAATGAGGCTGATCCAAAATTGTCAGATGTTGAAAAGGAGAATTTTGATAAAATTATTGAAAATACAAAACCACCAAAACAAGAAAATGCTAACTTTATTCATTATATTTATAATGCGCTTAGAAATGCTTCGATTGGTCATGTGAACGATTTTGAAAATTTTTGGCAAAAGGAACATAAGGATTGAATTTTTAATTTAACAATTTCTGTTTGTAAAACGATTTGTAAAAACATTCTTTAAAGTTTTATTTGTGAAATGTGAGGACCTAAAATACTATTATTTTATTTTTAAATTCATCAAAACCTGTAAATACCATTTTTAGACAAATTCAAATTATTTACAATTTTTGTTTTGAAAATTATGTTATTTTAAATTAAAACAAAATATTCATTGAGTTTTATCAATTTATATATTTCTTTATATAAAGTTCTTTTTATATTTCTTTGCATAATTTAAAAATAGTTCTTCAAAACACTTTTTATTGCAGTTTGGTGTGGTTTTTGGAGCTTGGGAACACAACACATTTCATAGAGTCTAAAGAGTTTTTTTCGTGCATTATGGTTCAAATAAATAGAAATGGGGAGATTTTTTCCCAAGGTTCGAGTCCTTATTGGGGAATTAATTTATTTTAACATTATTTAAGTTTTTTATTAATTTTGTGATTTTTATACGAATGTTTTTATCCAAAAATTTTTTCAAAAACTTGTTTTTTAATTTCTTAAATGATAATTAAAATTTTTAATAAAATAACTATATAAGATTGAAGTAAAAAAATTTATTTAACTTTCGTGCGTAGTAGTTACTAATTAACAATTTTTCTAAAAAAATTTAAAACATAGAATGACAAATTTTCAGCCATCGTTTTTGTAATTGCATTCTTCAAATGGATGAAAATTGCTCATTCTTTTTATACATATTTTGTTCCAACACACTAAGCAAATTTTTGTCACCAAATAAAAGAAATCTGGCTCATAGATAATAAGGATATGCCAGTATGAATATCGAAACGCATGAAAAAATATTTTTTCTTAACAAAGTTTACTTTACCTTAACTTCGCTTAAAGTCGCCAATCTTACTAATTACTCTTAGAGTAGCATCGAGATAGTCTATAATTAGATTTTTTAAAACATCATTCGAATCAGCTTAAAGAACCTATTCGAATGATATAAACTTCTCACATATCAAACAAATAGCCTTTAAATCGACGACTTTTGGTCAAAAATTTTTTTTCCAAAACTCTAATAAAAAACAATCAAATTAGTTCTAAAATGTATAGAATATTTTGGCACCAAAAATTTGCTTAGTGTTCGGAATAAAATAAAAAAAGAATTATCAATTTTCATCTACTTTGAAGAAAGTTCTGGCAAAAACATTGGCGAAAAATTTGCCGTACCCGGTATATTTTTCTATATTGCTATCTTTTTTGCTTTCTTTAAAATTTTCATCTTGTTTAAAAATTTTTTTTATCAGCTTAATTTTCATTTTGATTTGTATTTGAATTCTTTTTTATATATCTTTCCCGATCGTAACATGTTTTACATAAATATTTTCCAGGTTCTGAATGTTGCAACCATATTTTTGCTTGCTTAATTCCGCAATTATAACAATGACGATCCGACTTAAATAAATTTTTTACACATTAAGAATGAATTTCCATTTTATAATTGCGGAAGGGAAAGGGGATGGGCCAAAAATGGAATTAACGGAATATTTATTATAATCGAAAAAATTTTTTATGATAATCCGATTTTTGCAAACTTTTCATGATGTAAAATTCATCAAAACATTGTTTCTGCCTTTTTGAAACTTGAGTGTAGGCAGGAGTAAAATGGATAAAATATGGTTGGGATCGTCTTGGGAGCAAAATATGGTTGGGATTCAGGTCGAGACATGTGGTAAACAATTGATATCTAATATATCTATTACAAAAAAATCCAGGAATTCTGCTGGTTCGGCTTAAATTTGGGAACGAGTTTTGTATTCGTTATGAAATCAAGGAATGTGATCTTAAGATATCTAATAATAGCAAACCGTTTTAATCTTGATAAACAAGCTTTTATGTCTATGCATTACATATTTTTGACTATAAGCAAAACAAGCATGACACAAATAGTGTTCTTTGAGATATTTATGCCAGCGTGTCTTTATTGGTTTAAACCCACAATTGAAACAATCTCGGCTTTGCTTTACACTAATAACACCTAATAAATTAATATAAAACGTTATTTGCTAGAGTTGTTTTCAGCTTGATATGGCAACGGGGATATCCTTATTATGTAAAATAACATAAAATTTTTATTTACTTATTTTATTGCCAATGTACATAATTTTGCTTTTTAATTCCTTCGGACATTCAACTTTCTGTTTTTCTAACAATTCAATTTTATATCCAATTAAATTAATTTCTTTCCAATAACTTGTTAAAAGTATGTCTTTATAATTTTCTATATTCTCTTTTAATAGTTCTTTTTTATTTATTTTCTCTATACTTTTCTCTAATATAGAAGTTTCATAATAATTGCTCATTTCAACAAAATAATTATATCGTATTACCTTAAATTTATCGTTAGATTAATATTGAATTCAATTTTCCTTCTTTAAATTTACCGGTCTGAACATACCGTATTTTTCCCAATAGAAGCACACATCCCATTAGAAGCGCAGTCTACAAGAAAGTTAAAAAATAGAAACTAAAGCGCTTCTATTGGAAGAAATACTGTAATATATCTACGAGATAAGTTTAATCAAGATTGCTGGATCAAAATATAATAATCAAAATATAAAATACCCGTTTTTCAAATTCAGGCAAAAATCGTTGAATAATTGTATTATTTGCAATTTCAATCACAATTTTTCTTTTTAATTGAACTGGAGGAATATATTCTGAGTTATCATATATTTCTACCTTAAAAATATTTTCGTCATGTTTTAATTCAATTAAACGCAAAAATCCTTCTGTATCATATTTATTGCTACAATATATATTGTTATGTTTTTCAATTGTTTTCAATACAAATCGCTCCTTCTTTGCAAATTTTTTTAAATAATTAAATTCTCTTTTTTCTAACCAATCATCTTTTATTTTCACCTCAACTATTCTTCCGTTACAGTGTGTATTTAAAAGACTAATTAAATATAAATAAGGAATAATTAATTTAATCATCTAAAATTTTAAATTAAAAAAATTTTTTTTATTTCTAATTTTTCAGAATTATTGGCTTTTCAAGGCTTTAGAGTATTTTTTAATAAACATTTTCGAAACATCAGCTAATATTATAAAATTGAGCTAAAAATTTTAAATGTTAGCATGCCAAACTGGAGTAGTTGCGGTATATTTTATGTATTTTTATAAAAATGGCCTTTTAAAACGTGGCCAAAAGTTGAATACATATTTTAAATATTTTTTTACACAGTAAATAAATGGGGATGCATTTTTAAATATTTAATTAAATGCTAAAGGCATTAGAGCAATTCCGAAATTTTGATTTTCGACTTGAATAAACCAAGATTTCGAATCGAATATTTCAAAACAGCTATTAAAAGCAGAGCCAAAGTACAAATTTAAACAAATAAAAAATTTTGTTTTTACTATTTTAAAAGAAAGTACAAATTTTAAAAGTCCAAAAATTGCAAAAAATAAATATAAAAATTTAATTTGTCTCTTGAGAAATTAAGAAATTTGTACTTTTATCAAATGAAACTGTTAATAAAATTAGTCAAAAGAAGTTTTGTTGTTTGTTTTTAAATTTTAAAAATATTCTACAAACTTAAGTTAAAGGTTCTTTTAAAATTATTTTTAATAATTTTATTTTAGAAATTTCAATTACCCCTTTCTTTTTTAATCGATCATTAAATACTGTTTTATTATTATTTTCACTTTTAAATATGACTCTTAGGGTTTGATTTAAATAGATGAAGAATGCTTCTATATTATTCATAAGTTATATTTTTCAATTATTTTCAAAACAAAACGCTAATTTATTCCACATTTTTAAAATGAATAAATTCTAGAGTTCGAACTTTTCAAAATGCCGGGCCCGGGACCCGGTTTATTTCTCCCAAAGTCGCACCCGGACCGGTTTTTCCGGATAAAACCGGAAAAACCGGTTAGCCCGGAAAAACCGGTTTTTTTCAGACCCGGGCCCGGACCCGGTTTTTTCTAAATTTATTAAAAACATAAAAAATTATCACACATACAAAGGATCGCAAAACATACAAAGGATTGATTAAAGAATAGATGAATCAAGGGATAGATGCGATAAAGGATATATAGCAGGGTATCCGCAAGTGAACAAAAATTTTCCGCAGTCCGCAATCCGCAATTTTTGAAATAATTTGTAGTCTGGGAAAATAAGTGGATTTGAAGTATTTGGGAAGCCTCCATGTGATATCAGTGATTTGGAGGGATATAGAAGATTATGAATTTGAAGGGATTCATAGTTTTTTTACCGCGGAGACGAAAATTTTCAGAATTTGTGTAGACAAGGAGCTAGATTTCTTCTTTTTATAGCGCCGCAGGCGAAAATTTTGAGAATTTTGGAAGGCCGAGGAGCAAAATTTCTTCTTTTTTCAGCGCCGCAGGCGAAAATTTTGAGAATTTCGACAGGCCAAGAGTCCAGATTTCTTCCTTTTTCACCGCCGGAGGCGACTCTCCGGGCCTGGCAAAAAATTACCGGGCCCGGGACCCGGTTTTTTTACTCAAAATCGCACCCGGGCCGGTTTTTCCGGATAAAACCGGAAAAACCGGTTAGCCCGGAAAAACCGGATTTTCTCAAAAATACCCGGTTCCGGGCCACCGGGCCCGGAAAAAACCGGTCCGGGCCCGGCCCGGGTTCGAACTCTAATAAATTCTCTTTTTTCTTCCCAATTATCATTTATTTTTATTTAAACATTTAATTTTTATTTTCATATTATTAAATAAATAATAATTAATTTAATAATATGAAAATTAAAAATATGAATTTATATTGCTTAATCATTTCTATAATTTAAATAATTCTCAACTGATATAGTTAATATAAATAACAAATTTCACAACATTAAATTATCAAATCTTAAAACTTTATCGTCCTTAAAAAACCTTTGACTTAAGTTTGCCAATATTTCTAAAATTTTAAAACAAGCAAAAATTATTTTGACTAATTTTATTAAGTGGTTTAAATGTTAAAAGTGCAGATTTCTTAAT